AGCCTCGCAATATTCCCGCCATTGCTGAAGGAGCTCTGACGGGGGGAAGTGAAGAGCCTCAGAGTGGATAATCTCTCCATTATTTACTCACGTCTCCAATAAACTTACTCTCGTAGATTTTTTTTTAGATTTTTGGTGCTTTTAAACCTCAAAATTAAGATATATAAAAGATAATTTGGAAATTAGAAGTTTCTATAATAATTCGTTCTTTATTTTTCGGTTTCCCGCCAAAAATAAAGCCCTTTCGCGGGGCAGTGGTCGCGCGGTGGTGCCATATATCTGCTGCTTGAGCGACTTTGAATGGCGACTAATACTTCGCTTGGCCTCCCCCGCCTCCTCACGTGGGTGGAGAAGGAGGCTACGGACTCCTAGACGACAGCCTGAGGCTCCAGGGGTTATGAGGGAGTGTGTGTGTGGTGAGTAAACACTAGAGCCGGCACCGCTGCACACACACACACACACACACACACTCTCTATATTTTTTTTTTTTTGTTTTGGAGATATATACAAGAGTTGTTACATTCTTGTACAGCCGCTAGTACGCGTAGCGTTTCGGGCAAGTCCTTAATCCTATGGTCCCTGGAATACGATCCCCTGCCGCGAAGAATCGTTTTTTCATCCAAGTACACATTTTACTGTTGCGTTAAACAGAGGCTACAGTTAAGGAATTGCGCCCAGTAAATCCTCCCCGGCCAGGATACGAACCCATGACAGCGCTCGCGGAACGCCAGGCGAGTGTCTTACCACTACACCACGGAGACTGCAAATCTTTGTGTGACTGCAATATCTTTGTGTGAGATATCCACTCATCTGACCCCCCAATGATTGTTTTTGTTATATTGCTGAGCCTAATTACATGTTTGGGGTAGTTAGGGCTTCGACGCTTCTGTGCCAGGTAAGTCCACTACGGGCTCACCATAGTCCGTGCTACTTGCCCCGCTCCTGTGCCAGCTAAGTTACGAGCTCACCACAGCCCGTGCTACTTGGAACTTGTTCCAAGTAGCTGAATCTATAACAACAACAACAATCCTCATAGATCTGCCATAGACAAGGACAAAAACTATAGAACTGCATCATTCCTTGTAGATGACACTAGGATTTATATGAGTGGAAGCTACAGGCTTGGGAAGAAACCGGGCCTGGGAGATATTGATCCTCGATACCCCAGGTGTTGGTATCCCAACTATATCGCCTGCACACTCCCTGGACCACGTCCAGCACATCGCTCTGTAGACCTAAATGAAGCCTTAAACCCTCAGTTCAGTTCAACTCAGCTCAGTCTTAAAGTCTAATATCGGTGGCTTTATGCTGAGCAAAAATCATAATTAAACTTTGCTTCCCGACGTAGCTTTATTGACGCAGATATTTAAACACGTCATTAAAGCAGATATTTAAACACGTCATTTAAGCAGATATTTAAACACGTCATTGACGCAGATATTTAAACACGTCATTTAAGCAGATATTTAAACTCGTCATTTAAGCAGATATTTAAACGCGTTATTTAAGCAGATATTTAAACACGTGATTTAAGCAGATATTTAAACACGTGACTGTCACGTTAAAGGGTAAAATGTTTATGGTGCCTCATGTTATGAGGAGATAATGAGAATAATGAGAGTACTAAACAGACATCATTATACAGTGTTATGAGAACAGGAGATAATTGCGTCACAATTAGGTAGTTTAGAGAGTGGAGAACTACTTGTTTTTTCGAGTGATTGTCAATATAGTCATTTTGAACAGATGTTGATCAGGATGTTTGATCAATCGTTTGATTGATCAAACGTTTGATCAATCACCATCATGATTTTTCCCCTAGCACGAGCGACCACCAGCATACAGCGACCAGGACCATACAGCGACCAGCAGCATACAGCGACCACCAGCATACAGCGACCAGGACCATACAGCGACCACCAGCATACAGCGACCAGGACCATACAGCGACCAGGACCATACAGCGACCACCAGCATACAGCGACCACCTCGTCATGGTGTCAGAAAAATCTACTTCGCCGATCAATTGTTCAGATAAGATGATAACATGATAACTTGAGATGATAACCCAGCCATGCCGCCTGTGCTGTTATATCCCGTGTGAGCGGCCGCCCTCATACAACGACCCCACCACCGGAATCCCCAATGATTTAACGGTTGTACCTTCTTATAACGACCATTCGCCCTCAATACAACAACCCCAGTATAGTGTGCCTTGTGTATAACGGCCCCGACGCCACACCTCTTGACAACGCGAGTCTCCGTATAGCGGCCGTTAGCATCACTCTCCGATACAACGACCACTCCACCAATTTCCCTGTCAATAAGGTCGTTTGCCCTCGTGCCGCGGGTCAAAATAATGACTCTGAGGATTTCATTCAATATAATGAGCCTTCTTGAGGTTATCTTGAGATGATTTCGGGGCTTTAGTGGCCCCGCGGCCCGGTCCTCGACCAGGCCTCCACTCCCAGGAAGCAGCCCGTGACAGCTGACTAACACCCAGGTACCTATTTTACTGCTAGGTAACAGGGGCATAGGGTGAAAGAAACTCTGCCCATTGTTTCTCGCCGGTGCCCGGGATCGAACCCGGGACCACAGAATCACAAGTCCAGTGTGCTGTCCGTTCGGCCGACCTCACATGGTTCCTAAGGCTCATCCTCCCATACGTCAGCTATGCTCCCTATAGACCCTCCTTGTCTCTATAGCCACGGCCGGCCTTGCTACTTGTAGGGTCGGCGTTCGATTATCGATGTTCCGAGTGGCTGGGGGTCCCCGTTCCTGCACTCCGACCTCATATCTCAGGTGTTAGTCTGTCAGGTATTCCTTCCAGGCGATCTACAGTCATACAGGTTTGGCGCTTCCCCGCGATGATTATACCTTTCCTTGCTAACTTCCCCGTCCCCCTCTCTATTATATCTCCCTCCCCATCCTCCTTCTATATCAACCCTCACTTCATGCAGGTCGGCGTTCAATCCCCGACCGTCCTAGTGGTTGGGCACTATTCCTTTCCCCCGTCCCATCCCAAATCCTTATCCTGATCCCTTCCCTGTGCTGTATAGTCGTGATGGCTTTGCGCCTTTCCCCCCTGATAGTTCCCGTCCTTTCTTGGTCTTTGGTAGTTATACAGATGAGCAGAGCGATGCGCACTGTGTTCATTACATTGGTAACTACCCGCAAGGTCGAGCTTTCTCGTTCTCCAGTGGTTCGAACCCCAGGCGGCGTTCACAGTGGCTGGTACAGTGTGTGTGTGGACCTCACAGTGACTGGTACAGTGTGTGTGGGCCTCACAGTGGCTGGTACAGTGTGTGTGTGGGCCTCACAGTGGCTGGTACAGTGTGTGTGTGGGCCTCACAGTGGCTGGTACAGTGTGTGTGGGCCTCACAGTGGCTGGTACAGTGTGTGTGTGGACCTCACAGTGACTGGGAAGACAGCAGCTGGTGTCATAACCATTAGCCCATCTTCACGGCCATCTTGATTCTCCGCCATCTTGATTCTCCGCCATCTTTACTGTCGTCCCTCTGTCTTCCCGCCTGCTGTCTGCCTGTCTGTCTGTCTGTCTCCCTCCCTACTGTCTCATTCCCTCGTGATCTCGGTATTAGACGCTTTGGTAATTAAGCTTCACACATAGTGTCTTCCCCTCTCTCTTGGGAATATAAGTACTCACCGAGTTGTGCTTGAGGGGGGTTGAGCTCTGGCTCTTTGGTCCCGCCTCTCAACCGTCAATCAACCGTCAGGTGTACAGGTTCCTGAGCCTATTGGGCTGTGTCATATATACACTTGAAACTGTGTATGGAGTCAGCCTCCACCACATCACTGACTAATGTATATCACCTGTTAACTACTCTGACACGGTGTGTGTGTGTGTGTGTGTGTGTGTGTGTGTGTGTGTGACCTGAAAATAACGATGGATAAGAGCCACAGTGTCTAAGAAACGATGGTAATGGCAGTTGAAGACGACTCTTCAAACAAGCAATTTCACGCATCACACCCCTCCTCCCCCCCCTATTCCTGACCATCCCCCCCTCTCCATCCCCTGCCCCCCTCCCCGTCCTCAGCTTCAGGACTGACAGATGCAAACACCGGACTTGACAGCCAATTACTACACCGATCTCCCGGCGCCCGCCTTGTTCTCTCTCCTTCTTGTGCTTCTTGCTTCCATTAATGGCTTAAGATATATAAGAATTAAAGAAATTATAAAAGGCCTATTGGCTCAAACGACGCAGCAGCTCCTATTGGTCCATTCGAGGCATTTAATTACAATTGTTAAGGGGTGTTAACATTGCTTCAGTGCTTTAATAGATTCAGCATTTGGGCGTATCTTTTCAGTGATCCATTAATTATTCAAAGATAAATTTGGGAGTTGTTTAGGGATGAAGATTTCAGATCTGTTGTGGTTGGTGTTATGTAAGTGTTGGAGGTGTTGTGTTAGACACGTGAGGAGCAGCACGGTGTGTCGGCCACAGCTTGGACTAGTATGGGCCGAGGTGTAGCTGGGGGGTCGACAACAGCTTGGGCGAGCACCGCCCTCGGGCTAGTAGAAGCGACGGCCGTGCCTGTGAACATATATGTATTTCTTACCCTATAGGACTGCCATGAACACAAGTGCCTTACCTCGAACCCCGGCCACAGTATTGCTAAGTGACCACACCACTTGTACCAGAGACCTCACACTACAGACGTCTTGTTCTGTCAGTCTGGACCTTCAAGGCTCCGAGTCCTCAATTATCGTCTGAACGACACCTGAACCAAACAACTCTGAATCCATAAACTTGCTTTGTTTACCCGCTTGTTCGTCGCCTGTAGTTGGCTTGTTTGGGTTATATAGTAGTAGTTTGCATGCTACAGCTGTATTTTCTTATTGTATCCTCTTTTTAATTCATATTGACTTGTATAACTCTTCTAACTTTATATTTGTAGCTAATTGTTACTGATATAATTTATATATTTTTAAAAAGTAGGTTTATTGACAATAATATTACCTGCGGGAGTGTTATACCTGG